TCTTAGGCATCGAGATGATACACATAAAACATTCAGGTCAATCAGTCATAGATACAGAACAGAGATCACATATCACATGGCAAAGAAACAAACAAGAAACATACAGGTACAGCACTTTCCCTATTGCACATATCCCTATTGCATTCATACATAATCAAATATTGCACTTTTCCCTATTGTATTTTTACATAAATCAAATATTGCACCTTCCCTACTGTATTCATACACAAATCCATATTGCACTTTCCCTATTGCACCTATGCATAGTGTCCGTCAAATTGCACATATCCCTATTGTGTCCATACCTATTTACACATAATGCACTTCTCCTATTTAACCTTCTCGATTGCACAAACTACACTGTAAACATTGCACCTCCCAACAACTCCTAACACAGCATAATCACAATTGTTTCTGACTGTTCAGCAGCTTGATTGACAGCGGAACAAAGGAAAACTTATACCTGTTCAATTTACAGTTTGGTAATCTATACCTTCTGCCGCAAGCAACTCAAACTCTCTATACAGGATGTGTTTGGGGTCGCATGTGATTTTACGGCCTTGCTTCCTCACCATCTCCTCAAATATCTCCTGAAGAGAGGATGGTGGAAGCATGCCAATTATTTTCCCAGCCCTTTTTATCAAGCTCTGGAGTTGTGATTTAGATTTAGCTGACAAGTTACCAAACCATGTTGTGATGCCATAACGAATAATAGACTCAATTGCTGCCCTGTAGAACATTAACATGATACATTTATCCACTCCATGAACCCTGAGCCTACGCAGAAAATGCAGGAGCTGGCTTATCTTTGAGCATACTTGATCCACCTGATGGGCCCAGCCTAACTGAGCATCAAAACATGTATTATGTTAAGTATAGGCTGTTACAAACATAATCAAATGAGCTACGGTACCAGAGGATGATTTATTGTTGTTTGCACTCTCTTTGTCAGACGGGACGGTCATGATCTGGAACAAAGCCTGGCCTGGAAACACAAGACAATATGAACATCTAAATGTTAAAATCTGATTTAACACACAGAGAGATACAGCCTTAGTGTGGTATGTTTTATCTTACCTGTGTTACAGAAGGCAGGAAGGATGGGTCTAACAGGCCTCTTTTGAACAGGGGCACTGCTTCTGTCGTGACCTTGGACTGTCGCTCCCTGAAGACCCTCTTTCATCCGTCTGCTCAGTGACAGATGGAAAGAACATCAAATGAGATACACACTTTTGAAAATGTGAACAGCTGCAATAACATTATAACCTTTTTCAATCCATATTTTCTTGTTAGCTAAAGGTTTAAATTCCGCTTTTACACAGTTCAGCATTACAAATAAACAACAATAAATAACCTTTTATCACACATGAGTGTGAATATACCGGTATAGACTGTCACTTTCTTATTATATACAATACTGAAATGTTAATAATAAACAAGTGATAATGTTATGGTAATCAATCAAGCACCTGTTGATTTTTGTTTCTTTATCACCCTCACCCAACACCACACACACACAAACATGAGTGCAATTAATTTAAGTTCATAGTTTATATATTGCTATGATATCATTATCCTAAATCATTTTGGCCAAGATAATTGTGTTGTGATGATACCAAGCCTAGGTTTGTGCACTAAAGCTCAAAAGCACCTATCTGCAAATGGTGGATAGCACAGTTTTAAACCCAATCCTCACACACTTCATAGGTGCTTACTTTGTTTGTTCCTGCTCCTTGGTGCTGCTGCCCTCTGCTGGCCTCACAGCTGGAACTGCACGCTGCTTTCGGGAGCACCGTTTGACTTGCCTTCCTCTTTTTCTCCCAGTGGAGTTTGTTTTTCCCAAATCAGCATTCCCCTCCTGAGCAGGGGAAGGCGTGGGCTGGCAGCTTGCATTAGTTTTGGTACGACCTCTCGGTAGGAGTTGCTCGGACGCAGCTTCTTTCGCTTTTGCCTGACATAGAAACGCAGGCAAAGTTAATTAACCGGAACTATAGGTCAAAAGTTGAGGATGAATCTTTGTACGACTCGTGGATGTTCCTATACATAAAGATTGAACATCCCAACTCTGTGCAGACATTGCTTTACACTTACAGGAGGTATCCATTTCCCCCCCAAGTGGCTCCCACATTCAGGGCACGCGGGTGGTTTGTGGCGGGTGACATACACAAATGAACATCCAGGATTTAGACACCTTCCTCTCCCTCTCCGGGTGTATGTCTTTAAAGACTGAAAATGGGAGGAAAACAAGTTGATGTATCTCAGCTGTTACTGCTACATTATAGCACCCAATTACTTTAATCCTAAATAATGATATTCTTCATGTAGACACTGTGCTTGCCAATTTCAGTAATGACATTTATAAGATTGATGAATAATGAGGGTGCTTACCATTTTATAGCAAGGATTGGCACTTGGGTCTCTGTTCACTGGGCCCACGGAGCCAACACTTGGCAAAGATTTGGGCTCTAGCAGGTTCTGTGTGATGGACAAATCACTTCAGTGCATTAGTAAAATCACTTTTCTGTGATTAAAAGCCCTAATAATTCTTTAATAAATTAAGCTCATTTAGCTAATTGGTAGAAGGACATTTAAGTCTCACCTGGAAGGGTATGATGGCGACCATCGGGGTAGTTTCCCCCTGTACCTGCTGCACCATGGCCCCACTGTAACCACTAGCAGCAACTGTTGTCTCATTTCCTTTCAGCGTGACCCTGTTTGCTGAGAGGCCAGCAGAGACCTGGGAGACGTGTTCGTCTGTGGAGGCCAGAGCTTGGCATGAAACAGAGGAAGAAGAGGAGGGTGGGATCCCTCGGGTGTCGGAGGGATTAGACGATACTTCCGTTTCCTCTGCAATGTTGTCGACAACAATGGCGTGCTCACAAAGCTCCACCTCACCGGCCAACACAAGAGGTGTGGGCTGGGGCTCCTGGGTGAGAGTTCCCTCCACATGAGGGTCCAGAGACCCTGCGCTCACCTCTGCCTGAGAGCCCAGCTGCTGATTTGAGGAGCCGCCTTTAGACAGGAGAAAGTAACTGCCTCTGGGGAGGATTTTGCGGAAGCCTGGCAAGTCTTTGGAGGGACTGGGAGACGACTGAGGGAAAAGCAGAATAAAGAATATTGTTCATGGCTGTCCAGAGAATCACTTGGCGATATATAAGACAGCACTATATTAGCAGGAAAAAGCTGTTTTATCTCTGCTGTGGTACTTCATTTAAACGGGCCACTTCATTCCAACACTAGTTTAGCTTGCACAAGTCAAATGTGTTTATTACAAATTAAATCAGTTATACTATCAGTAATAAAATCAGCTATCAAATCAGTTATTATAGACTTTCCAGCAACTTGTTTTGCACTTTTTGAAAATAAAGATGATCAATGGCTGCTATACTTTTAAGTTAGAGTTGCACTTGTTTACCGATAGGTGATCAGTAAACATCAAATAAAAGCAGTAGGAATATTTGACCATGGAAAGAATATATATTTTATACAGCTCGAAAATGGTTAGTGTTATTTGGCCTTTTATTTGATGAAATTAAAGGCCTAATGGACACTCAGTACAGTATTGATTATGTAAAACAGTTGAGGAAGTAGCTTACTGTATCTATGCCCTCCTTCTCAGACTTGGCCTTCTCCAGATAGTAACCTTTCTCAGAAACGCTGAGCCTTTTCCAGCTCTCACTGATTCTTTTGTTAATCTCTGACTGTGGTAGATTAGGGATTTCCTGTTGCATAATCTGATGAACATCAAAGAAGTATAGAAGAAAGGCAGACCTAAGAGACAGACAGAGTACAAGTACAATCAGAACAAGCAAATGTAGGAGTCATTTCTCTCTTTTCCAAGATATTGTAGAATCTGTGTGTGAAAGTCATTTGAGCTAGTATGGACATTACCTGGGTTTCTTAGATTTCTCAACACTGTCTTCATGACCTTTGTTTTTCCTCTTTTTTAGGGTTGTCATCTTTATTTTGCTGTAGAAGCTCTCCACCTCCTCAGTCACTTTCACAACCTCAAACACCTCCACTTTCTCCATGAACTCCAAAAAGCTAAGGGCCAAGTAGAAAACAGTATGAGATTAGTTGGTTGTTCATGTTTAAACATTCACAAAACTTAAGAGTTTTATCAGACTGCATGCATTTTGGCTGAAGTAATGTTTATTAAATACATATTGCTTTGCATAATAATATGCATTTCATATATGCTAACGCCCTACTTTGTAGACCCTAAAATGTTTCAACTGAGACATGATTGTGCAGCATCACTCCTCTGCAACTAAATGACAGCACTGAATTACTGGAGTTTATTATAGTTGAATATCTCAGCTGATGAGTCAGGGGAAAAGATAGATCCTGTGTCTAATAAAAGCCACACACAGTGGTAGAGAATAACTACGGGCTGGTACTTCATGCAGAGAAAATATAGCACAACGGTGTCTTGGTAAAAAATCAAATCGGGTCATGCATGAGGCTCTGAGAGAGTCTAAACAGAGTACTAACATGTTAAAATCAATGGTCCTTCCCTGCTTAAAAGTGGGTTTAATGGCGTGTGCTTATACTGCATGCACAGCCAGCGAGTTAGCCAATGAAATGCCTTCTTATTGAAGCCTTACCTACGATGGCTCGGAGCTCTACAAACTCCTTTAGAAGTCGCCGACACAGTCAGGCATTGTCCTGAAGGTAAGTAATTCCAACATCAGGCTTTACTTTATATTACATTAAGTATTGGCGATACATAAATGTCTGTTAAGTATTTTTCGTTTCTCATCGACTTGTAAAAAACATGGCGATTTGTTGCTATGGTCCTCAACCAATCAAATGCCACAATAAACAGCTGCGGGCCAATCACGGAAGACGTTTTTAACACGTGAAAGTAATTTGTGCGTCCCATGATGGTCCAATTGGCGTTATTCCCCCCCTACCGGTTTTTCCTCAAGTCCCGCCCTTCTATGCTGTGATTGGCTCGTTACTTCGATGCGCCTTTGTGATTGGATGAAAGCTCAGCCGTTTTCCTCAGAGTCGTAGGCGGTAGTGTTTTCGGGTTATATGTCTCTATCAACTGCTTAAATCATAGGTTTCTAACTACCAGCGGCGCCGTCCTATGTCCTAAAAGCCCAAATTGCCAATACAAAAATGACACAAACCTACAGACACTTTAACCCAGACCAAACTAGTCGAACCTAGAGTGTCCCAGGTCTATGAGTCGATCACTGATCACCCTAATGAGCAAAAATGGCGGGTGACAAGGTGAGTGAGTTCTGTGTTCTTGCTTCAAATGTATTATTTTAAAGTGTTTCTTTAGGTGACTGCATCTACAAGAGAAGGGCGAGAAACATGTTATTTTCAGCAGTAATCGGCGGTGTGAAATTACATTTCAAGGATGATGGTCGCTTGTAAATTAACTTAATCTATCATTGAGCCGGTTATAAATTAGGTAGCCATTAACGGTAGCTAACCATCAAACTTCGACAAAAGGAACAGTTTTGTTACAGAAGTTTGCATGCGTTATATGCCAGCAACCATAACTATAGGCTCAGTTTTACACCAACGTTAGTTATCCTCAGTTACATTAACTTTCAATTGTATTTGTTACACTGTTTTCTTATACAATTGTGATGCATTTTATTTTAGGATCCCCTGAAACAGTTGAAAGATCTGACGCGGCTCAAAAGTCAGTTGGAGGAAATCCAGAGGCGAGTGGAGAACGAAGTGACTCTAGGAATCCCTCAGGTGAGATAAATAACCTGCACTGAACGACGTCCACCCACACTGGTACCTGAACAGTTAAATGTATATTTAGCCTTGCTCACATATCTGTATATGTAAATTCACCTGATCAGAGTTTAACTATTTTTGTTAATTCTCTCTTTTTTTATTATTATCTTCATATCTCTGTGTACTGCCTGTGTTTCTCTTGTATTATGTTGCTGCTATAACACCTGCATTTCCCTACGGGGATCAACAAAGGTCCATCTTATCTTAAATGCGACCACACCATTTAAAAATATTTAGTCGATGGTGAATTTAATTCCCATGGTTAATAAATACAAGTTTGCCTTTTTGTGAGCTGGTTGTTAGCCCCTCATTCACCTTTTGTGTTAATGCAGTTAAAAAGCATTGAGTTTATTTGATTCGTTTTGTCTTATGACTTCCTTAAATATCCCCTTGTGATTCTTTTGTATAGCTATCTTTGACCATATACCTTTTTATTGTGCTTAATGAATTCCCCTACTTGTAGCCTACTCATCAATGTTTTAAATATTCTGTATGGCATTTCTGATGCTAATATTTTCTTCCACTTGTAGGGAGGCTCAGTGTTGGGATCACCATTTCTGAAGGGCTTTCTGGCCGGCTATGCGGTGGCCAAGCTACGTTCCTCTGCCTTCCTGGGACTACTAGTGGGTACAGCCACTGGTATATACGCGGCACAGAACTATCCAGTGCCCAACATTGAACGGACGGTGAAAGACTATATCAACAGCTTGAAGAAAGGACCAAAATAATTTGGGCTGACTGTTAGTTTGGTCAGTGAAATAACAAGAAAAAGAGATGCAGCTGCTGCCTTGACAGAGCCTTGTGACGGATCAGCCTTCAAGTAAACTTGACTATGAATATAATGACATAACTGGAATTGTATTGGGGACTCAAAGCAAAAGACTGCAGTTTTTATTAGCATTTTGTTTCAGGTTCAGTTAATTACTGCCATTTAGTTTCAGCTTGTGTATGTTTGATGTTAGCACAAAATGGAGGACTATGTATTTCAAGAGTGCTTGGTCCATCAGATTATAAAAAAGGTCTGCTGCCTGGAGCAGTTATCTAGGCATGTTAGAATTTAAATTGGTCATGTGCAAAACATGCAGTAATTCCTCCACGTGTCTGCTACACCCTTATTGTTCAGTTTAAAATATATACACAAAGTATTACAAAACAAAGAGATTCTAAGTATTTTGTAATAGAAATTGAAATGGTTGAGAATTATAGCTATTTTCATTTTGTTGCACTATAGCTAGTATTCAGATTTGTTAAGAGTTTATTTTGAGTCATAAAGGATGATTGCGGTCCAGAATATTGGGACCAGATCCCCAGCAAGGATCAGGAGACAGTGGGTGAAAAGGGTTCTGTGGGGGGTCCTCTTTGGGCTGATGGTCCTTATCTATGGCTCTCATGCCCCACTCATCACCCTCACCAAGGTGGATGGTCAAGTCCCTTTCAACCCATCATCATGTGTTTTTATGATTGAATTATCCAAACTCCTGGTTTCTCTGGCCTCTCTTGTTCTAACCGAGGGTACATCCGCCTTACAAGCTCCTCCACCTCTCCTCCGTGTGGCCCCCTACGCAGTCCCTGCCCTCCTCTACGCCCTCAACAACAACCTAGTGGTTCTCATGCAGGCCTACATGGACCCAAGCTCATACCAGGTCCTTTCTAACCTGAAAATTGCCTCCACCGCCCTGCTGTACTCCTTCTGCCTGGGCAAGAAGCTCCGTCCTTCTCAGTGGTTAGCTCTGGGGCTTCTCATGTGCGCAGGGGTGTGCCACAGCTACAGCAGTCTGGATCTAGGAGACCTCAGGAGGGTTGAAGCGGAGGAAGGTCCCATGATTCATATCACAGCTTGGGGGCTTTTCCTTGTGCTGGTGTACTGCTGTGTTTCAGGGCTGGCAGCAGTTTACACAGAGAGGGTCCTGAAGAGCCAGAAGCTGCCCCTCAGCCTGCAGAATATCTACCTCTATGTGTTCGGTGTGGCCATTAACGGGCTCTCCTCCTTCTTCTTTATAACAGGGGAGAAGAGCTTTCTGGAGGGATACTCGGGGGTGGTTTGGGTTATTATAGCGGGGCAGGCAGCCAACGGTCTCCTCATGTCTGTGGTGCTGAAGCACGGCAGCGGGATCACCAGACTGTTCGTCATTTCCTGCTCCATGCTGGTGAATGCTCTGCTGTCTTGGGCCATGTTAGGGCTGCAGCTCACGCCTTTCTTCCTCCTACCTGTTTCTATGATTGGACTGGCAGCTTACCTTTACTACAGATAGTAAATAACTGAACCACGAGGCTCATTGAACTCATGACAGTCCACCTGTACCTGCTAGTTTTTCAGATGGGATTTGTTTTCTGCCTTATATCTATCTGCCTTCTGAAATCCAGAATCCAACACATAACCATAAACCAAATAAGTGAACATGTATTTCAGCTGAGCTCTTATTCCACAGTTTGTATCATATTTTAAAATGTATCATGTCATACCGATGTAAGTCCATTGAAATAATAATGCAAGTTTGGGGTATAATATCTTCAGTTCAACATTTCTGAAGAGTGCTGCTATGTCTATTTGTATTTCGTTCTCTGGCCAGAACACTGTCAAAGATAATGTCTGGTGTTATAAAGTGTGTTAATAAATAACATTGTTTCAACAAATGATGTATTTTTCCAATTTCATATAGCACACAGATTCAAAGACATTTAATTCATATATTTATTGCAGTTGTGATGACAGTTCAGCAGTAGGACCACCTCGCACAGCTAGAGTATCCTTTAACTCTCCGAGTGCTGTAAAAGAAAAATATATTTTGAATGGTGGTGGGAAACAATGTCTTGGTATTCTGACACATTTTATGAGAGTGATGTTGGGGTAATTCTATCTATAATAAAACAGCAGGTAGTCCTACACACACTGACCTTTACGGAGCTGTCTGTTGTCCGCCTGCAGCTGCTGGTTCTGGGCCGACAGGTAGACGGCGTCCTGCACCGCCTCCAGCAGCACGCTCCGGTACCTGTCCTCAGACATCCTCCTCTGCTCCTCACACACCTGACGAAACACTCTGAACACCTGCAGAGCAGTCAGAAAGTTAACATAAGAACGTATGCTACTATATTGGATATTTTTTATATATATCTTTAATAATAGATTTAAGTAAAAACCACCTGGACACCTAAATCCTATAAATCGACTTTTTCTTATCCGTAGGGAACATAGGAGTTAACCAAAAAGTGAAACACTACCATAAAGGTTTACAGGCAAGATTGCTCAGAAAATAAATAATTTGTCTTTTCTGTGTTTTTCACTGATTTCACTATTATACTATTTTTAGGCATATATTACCGGACTTTTTTTACACATACTCTTTCCAGTACAGCGTTAGCTCTGAGTGTTAGCGATGCTTGCTAATGTAAACACAGACCATATTACTTCCAAAACAGGTAGCGCATTGTTTCTATTAAGTGAGTAATGTCGTCATGACCGCAGCAAATCTGGATCAGCTCCGTTTTTAGAGATGTCGGTAAGGAGGAAAAGAGAGAGGGTTTTATTTTCAGACACATTGTGAGTCTCCTGACACACGGGGGACACATATTTATGTATAAGAGACATCAAAAAGTGCATTTTGCATAATAGGCGACCTTTAAATAATTTGTGAGCTACTTAACAAAAATGTGTACAAACTACACAATTCTTAAGATCTCAACGTAGGCTACTTAATACCGCTCATACCATAAGCGGTATAATACACATCAGGCCTTTGTTTGAGAATCCCCTATATAATCTAGGTAATAAAACACTGGTTAAACTAGTAGGCTACTCGTGAAATGAAACTGACATTGGTTGACTCAGTGTTCTCTCACTGAAACAACAGACCCCCACCTGCAGGCTCTCTTCTCTGAGACAGTGCAGCTCTGTTTGGTGTTTCTGATATAGATTCTGCAGGTCGGTCTCAGCCTGCTGGGCCTCGTCGCGCAGGGCCTCCATCTGCAGCACCAGGACCCTCCTCTCTCCGCTCAGCACCAGCAGCTCTCTCTGGGGGCCTTCTGTCTACCGGAGGAATGGATGAAACCATACAAAATGCAGGGGAATAACAGCATTAAGTTGCATATGCTGTGGTTTTACCCTGTCCACAATAAATCCAGCCTTGCATTAATTTAAACTGACTCAGCATCCTCAGCCAAGATAGATCACTCTCTGAATAATATTAAGCAGCAGTGAATCTCATTATCTCACCGGTAGCTGTTCCTGAGCCAAGTCTCTCTCCATCTTCTCCACCTCCTCCTGAATTAATCTCCCGTGGTCCTCTTTAAGTTGTGTCCTCCGTTCCTGTGCTTTGCTGTACTCCAACTCAGACTCAAATTGGCAAAATAAATTAGTGTGTGCTGCCAAATCTCGCACATATAAATCGTGTTAATATGTTTAAGGCTCTATTCACAAAACCTTGTAAACAATGTATCTATAGTGGATAGTCGGATAGTGGTGGTCTAATGGATAGTGAGGTGGGGTGAAGATCGGAAGGTTGTGAGTTAGGAACACCACCACTAGTGTGCCCTTGAGTAAGGCACTTAGCCCTTAGTTACTCCAGGGAGAATGTCCCTGTAATTGGTCATTGTAAGTCGCTTGGATAAAAGCGTCAGCTAAATGAAATGTAATGTAATCTAATCAGAAGTGCAGGCGAAAAATATCATGTTTAATGGATGGAATGCATTACTTGTTGACAGAGGTCAGATTTCTCAGTCGAGGCCCCGTTCTTCAGTGTCTCCTCTCTCAGAGCCTCCCTCAGCCGCTGGATACTTGCTACTCTCTTCTGCACTTTCTCCACATTCCCTTTACCCTCTGTGGATTTAAGAAACACACATAAAAAACATGAACGATGATCTTATATACAAACTGTTTTAATAAATCAGCAAATTACCTCTGATATGTTTTTCCATTTCTTGTTTCAGTTGGGTTTGTAAATGTTTCATGTTGTTCGTACTCTCTCTACTATCTCTGCTGTGCAAATGGATACTCAGGGTTCGACAACTCTGTCAAATGAATGCAAAACTTTGAGTTATGAACACATCATCTGCTTAATAAATATATGTTAAACTTGTGGGGATATGTAAACAATAGGAACCTGTGTTTTGTCTTTTCTTTTCTTTGACTCTTCCCTTCTCTTCTCCCAGGACTGATCTTTCACAATCTGTCAGTGAGCATCAAAATGTGTTTGTGTTAATGTTGTCCCTAATCTACAATAAATATATTTATATAAGGATAAAGAAATAGTAAAGGAATATGTATGTAAAATGATGTGCGTTTTACTAAAATATACTACACAACAACAATTACAATTCAAATAAAAGACGTATAAGAAATATCAAAAAATGTGTATACCAAACACAGTTTTATTTATTTAAATATTATTATTTGAGCCATGAACTAGGTGAGAAGCCCCATTTTATTATAAGCTTCTCTTGTGTATTACCTGCAGGTTTTGGGTCAGCTCAACTAGCCTGATGGTGTTGTGAATGTCATTTTCCCCCTGTGACATCATGACGGCTCTCTGATCCACGATGCTGTCTCTGATCATTTGCTCTGTTGCCCTTGGACACCAGCGGTTAACAGAGGCCTTAGTTACCAAACTTCTTACTGTCTGGGCCAAAGCTAAAGCGGAGGGGGTTTCATCATCTAAAACACCTGATGGGTAAAGAGAGAGAGTTATTTCTATGCTCGGAGAATTGCATTGGTGGAAGAAGTGATGAGATACTTCAGTAAAAGTACTAATAGCACAACTGAAAATAAATAAATAATAATTCTGTATTCAAAATCTTAATTAAGTTCATAATAATCTGGACATTTTATTTAAAGTATAAAAGTATAGTACTAATTATTTAGTTGTTACATCAATATATTTTATAACATTAGAATATAATTGATATTAAAATCTTATCCAGTAGTATGCAATAGGCATTATTACATTGCAACTGGCTGCAAGACCTATTTACTGTATGCATTGTACTTTATAAACACATTATAGGTGTTTAAAATGTAATCTGAAAAGTAACTAGTATAGTCATAAAAGATTGAGTTGTTCGACAATGTATCCTTCTGATAATGTAGTGGAGTAAAAGTAAAAAGTAGCATCAAATTAAAAAGTAAGTAGTGTAAAAGTGTCTCAGAATTGTCTTGAGGCACAGTACTTGAGTAAATGTACTGATTCCTCCTCTGATTATGGGTGGGTTGGCCCCAGAGCAGCACTTACCCTGAGGGTGGAGACAGTAGACGAGCACCGTCCTGCTGTTTCCTGTTAGCGCATCATTTAGGAGGGAGGGGAGGATCTTGTCACTAGTTGTGGCTTCACTTTGGGTTTCCTCCACCACCTTCACCAGTGGGCTGACTCTGGAAATATTTGTTTAATGCAAGGAGGACTTTCATGGCAGAAGTGTTGTGTGACATTGACCATTGTAACTCTGTTTACATAGAAAACAAATGACATTGTTGATTTTACTTGATTAATATTGCTTTGTCACAGCAGATATTTTGACTTGTCATGCATTAACATTGGATTTGTTCTATTAATACATCCCTGTAAACCAAGACAGTGTGACAAAGATCTAGCATGCACAATACCAGGAAGCTCAAACAAGAGCAGCTGAATAGAATTCAGAGACTATGAATCAATATATCGTATATAATGTAATCAGCTTTTTCTTTTGTTGTCCTTCATTATGACTTGCTTTGCCACTTTCTTCGAGCTCTTGAATTGATCATGATCACCAACTATGGACATCTCAAAAACATTTAGACAAAGCTGAGTATCATTTAAAGTGTCTCTGGTCCATGTAATTGATAGCCCACTGACCCTCTGAGGTCCGTCCTGCTCGCTCCTCCTGCCAGGCTGAACAGCTGCAGTCTGCTGCAGCAAACCTCTGACTCCACCTCTTCTGGATGGAGTTTCCACTCAACAGCTACAGAGAACAGGGAACTACATCTGAGGGAAGAACGCAACACAAACATGTAGAGACAATACCATGAACCACAACCTGATGAGGAAGATAAACATCCAACTGCTCCATGACCATCCAATGACTCATGGGACATTTAGATAGGGATCCACCTTTGTGAATAATCCATTCAAAGCTATTTAACTAATGGGTTGAGACGTATTCAACCTGTGCTTTACCTGCTGGAAATGGAGCCTGCATTGGCCCTCAGTGTGTCCCTGCATGTTTCATACAGAGTGTAGGCTTCTTCTGCTGAACACACACACACCTCACATAAACCTCCTATTAGACTGAGGACAAAAGACAAATATGTTCAAAGGTTAAATGTACAAGTGTAAGAACATGGAAAATAAACAACAAACACAATTACAAAATGAGCGTAAGATAGTTATTTCACTCACACTTGTGCAATAACAAAATGAATATATAATTACATGTATGGTGGATAGATTATTTTTGGAAAAGACGAAGTAATCACTAAAACAGGTTTTGAAAAGATTTAGTATTTTTGGATTTAGATCTTTAATTAAAACCTGTGAAAGATGGAAGCAATACCAAAAGCGTGAAGTGTACTATGTGTTCTGTGTTTATCTTGATCAGTAGTCATCTGGAATCACCTTCCAAGGACGGGGTGTGCCACACGTTTTAGAGTCTCTCTGTTGGGGCTCAGAAGATCCACAGCACTGCCGTCTGGATAAAACTGGCAGAGACAGACATCAGATGTTATCTTTCACTCTATTGCATCCAATATGATTTATGGTGATGCTGTTAAATAGAAGGACAAACCTGAAGGAACGACACAGAGATGAACAGCTCCTCTTTCACTTGTGACAACACACGACTAAACAGATCTGTCAAGACCTAAGACAGAGTTAGGAGGAGTGAGAAAACATCAAATCGGCCAATATTAGGTGCAGTTTTGTTTTTTGCTCTACCTGTTTGATCATGCTGTGGTCAATCAGAGGGGTCATATTCTCCAATGAAGCTCCTCCACATATCAGCAGCGCTCCATTATAACCACCAGATATGGACTCAGTGAGAGGCTGCAGGAACTCAGGGTGGAAATTCTGAAGATTTATATTCAGACTTTTAGTTTCCACACATCCCAGAAATGTGGTGAGGACAAGCTGTAAAGCGACTGATTGGAGTAAAGCTGCATTATTTCAATGACATTGGTGTAAATCAGATCACCTGTATGTTGTCCACAGTCACAACTTGGTCGAAGGAGAAGGGCTTAACTTCCTGATTGGAAAACATAAAACAACAGTTAGAGGTTTTAAAAAGCAAATGGTTGTTGAAGCTGATTCAAATGTTTTACCTCATCCGTCCGCGATTTGTATTCCAAACCATGTCCTTCCTCACATATAACCATAGAGTCTTTACCCCAAAAAAAGAAAAATAACATTCAAACACAAATCCCCAACAGTAGATCTAATATAAATATGACATTTGTCGTAGCTTTACCTGGGACTGCAGTGAGTATAACTCCCACTCTCACTGTGTCAGCTGCCTCACACATCTGGAGAAACACGTAAAATGGTCACAAATGTTTCGAACCAAGCCATTCTTGACCTTTTTGTTTATTAAATCACCCTAATGTTGTTGTCAAAAGCAGATACTTACAGCTGCATTCATGTTCACAGTTGCCATCCCGTGTCGTTGTGTCCAACAGCCAACAGGTCCCTTGGGTTTTTGTTACACTGTACTGAAATATTGATGAGTCAGAATCCACTTTCACTGGTCTGGGTGTTCAGGGTGAAGTTACCCAGATGGACAGAAATTCACCACAAAATATTGAAGTGCCACCTTATAATACGCCAGCCTTTACAAGGTGGTTATTAGTTTTAATTAATGAGCATTTTTAGTAGAGGTCGTTTATGTTTTGATTCATATTGCTTTATAGATCAATTATTCTTGCAAATCATTGTTTGCCAGGTTCCCGGGTGGCAACAATGCAGTTAAAACATTTTAAAATCAATTTTTCTTGCTTTAGGTTTTCAACAAACTGATTATGGTTGAGCTCCTCTAGAGTGTAGTAAAACAATACAATCTGGACCCCCGAAAGCTCTACTTATTATTGGCCTGTAAGTCATTTATACATTTTAGTCTAATAGCCAATAATAAAGTATTTGTTTGAACTCAACATAAAACGATGCCTTTTATAGTAGGCTAGGGCTGCTTCTCAGGTCGACTATTTTCATTTCCTCGCTCCTCGGTCCTCGGTCTCACCGGAAGTTGATTTGCCTGCGCCATCTTGAGTACCGTCCCATGGCTCTTATTTCTGCCGGAGGACCGAGGATCGAGGAGCGAGGAGCGATAATGGAGGAGCGATAACCGAGGAACCACCAGACCATCCTCCGATGAAATCCTCAGATACTCGCCCCGCCCCCTTACTGTGTATCGCTCACTGATTGGACGATGCAGCGCATGCACTGATCTGATGCTTCTTGCCATGAGAGCAGTTTCCCAGCGGAGTGAAGAAAATACATGAACCTCACGGGAGTCACTCCTCAGTTTATACCGTGTTTTGTTTCAATTAATGTATCATTTAGTTACAAATATGGGATATATCTGAACAACAAAGTTGACAAAAATCATTTTATTCATTTATTGGAAACATTTTCATGATCGCTTTTTTCGTTTTACATTTTCATTTATTGTCATTTCCATTCAGTCAGTCATTAAGTGCTATTAAAATGTTAATGTGCTACATATCCAAACAAACAAACAAAGTGTGCAGTCCAATGAATGTTAATCTAACTGGGTTTTGATAGATAATATATCTTTTTCTTCTCTCAATTATTGTATTTCTATTGTGCACTCGAATCAAACTATTGTTCGTTTATACATTTTAAGAATGGCGTTTATGTTTACTTTTTTGAGAATGAGTTCTTATTTTATTTATTGGGGTCTACAACAGATGATACAAATGTTTGTGTCAGTAAATGTGTGGCGGGGGTGTTTGTGAAAACAACGGGGACAGAGCTGGCTGCTGTCAGACGAACAGCTGTGCGGCGTCATCACAAACGGACGTCGCTTCACGTGACGCTCCGGAGGAAAGGACGTCCCATTGCTCTTAAAACTCATTTCCCTGCTTCTCGTGGTTTCCTTTCGTCCCTCCATGCTTCCCTGGTGGGAGGGACTAAACGCAGGGAAACGACGCAAGTGAGGGAAGCAAGGATTTCATTTAATCGACCTGAGAAGCAGCCTACATGTTTGAGTTTGTGAAAAAAATGTCTAAAACCAGGTGAAAGGTGAAACATGAAATGTCATACCAGAAACCGATGGTGGAAAATTCAGGAGCATTGCATCTAATCATTTAAAGTTTATTCTGTGTCATTCATTAGTCTAAAGCAGAGGTCGGCAACAGGCGGACCGCGGTCCGGATCCGGACCCAGACGCCGACCTATACGGACCCGGAGCTATAATCAATACATTAATAGGGGATTGTTCGGCGCCTCCCGCTTTTTTAACGCTGATTTGGGTAACTTGTGTAATTCGTGGAGAACCGAAGAGTTTTCGTTTTGGGGGTGGGGGGTGGGGAGTCCGTCCGTCAGTCCGACTGATGGACAACTTCTCACTTCAAAAAAGAAGAAGAAATCTAGACCGCAAAAATAATTAAACAAGCGAGTACCTGTTTTTCCTGGCCAAGGACAGGTTCCTTGAACACAACACGAGCGTAACGTGTCTACACGTGGTATGTCTCGTCTGAAAGGAGTGCTGACAGAGCACCGGAACGCCGCTCCGGCCCTTCAAATATTGCAGTACCCATAAGGAGCAGTACACATGCCACAGTGTTTACGTGGCTGTGTCTTTAGTTGTAAGCACAGTGGCGATCTGTTGTTATTAGCATCTGGTTAGCTAGCTATGCTAACGAATTTAAAGAGCTTTTCTACAACCAAGTGGAAGAGAGCTATCTCCTGAGAGGCTCAAATAACCTCAGCTCAGTGAGGTTAAGGCACACCTTGATATGATCATTATAGTTATCAATGAGACTAAATGAAAAACAGGTATAAAATACTATCTGACAGTAACAAAAAAGTTGTTAAAAATAACAAGAATAGAGTTTAAAAGGGGAGTGATTTGTAAAATATCCAAAAACAAAAATCTGCTTACAGTTCTGTTTCATATGGGTGTTGAAAGATGTATCCATAAATCTCTTCATGTTGCTATCAAAGTGCACCAGATTGATGCTTTTAAGTTCAATATTTAATATTCCCGGGGGAGCATTCCCCCGGACCCCCCTAGAGGAGGTTAGGTCCCCCCCCCCCCCCCCACTTAAGTCATGTTCACATCATGGATAGGATACTAAATACATTTACACACATCTTGTGTCCATATCTTTCTGTTTTGGTGGTCATGCCACAACCGTGCACATGCATGCATGCGCGAGTCATGGTGAGATATCTGGATTAAGAGGTTGCTTTTTCTTTGCACAGCATGAAAGAAAGGCCAAATGAATGGGCTGTGGTTTTAGTTTTTTTAAGCAGAGATTGAGTTCAATCATTTGTACGGCCCTCTCTGAGGATGTTGTAAAAATTGAAAGGAAAAAGGTTCCCCACCCCTGCTGTAAATAATTATAAAAACCCTTGATTTATAACTTAACATCTCTGTCCCCTATTGATCTGAGTATATGATAAAGAACAGTTAATTGAAGCATTATAGCACAGGCCTTTGTCAGATGGTATTACGCAGTTTTTTTTCTGCTTCGAATAGTTCTCTCTTTTTTCACCATACCTGTGTTTGCATCACTGTAACCAATGAGCACCTGCATGTGTATGAGAATGGCCCTGACACCATTTCAGCCCAGATTTACAAACTCCTGGCAGGACAAGCTCCAGCTCAATTCTCGCACTGAATAAAAAAAAAGTGAGTGAAGGACTGCAATATAAGAAGGAAAGAAAGATAAACTTTAAATCTGTTCAATTGTTATGATGTGTAAAGACTGATATTGTTCTATAATCGGCTGAAACTGTTAAGTCATGATGTGAAACGGTTAACAAAGAAAAATGGAAACTCAAGCTGCTGCTACACTTTATTTTATTTATCTAAAATTAAGCACTTTTAAGATGCACATATTTTCAAAAGCTATTTTATTTATTTTCTCTATTTTATTTGTAAATGCAGCCCGAGAGGAACATTACACATATCCACAGTATTTACTGTATATCTGTATAGTTCAATGTTAATAGACAATACATATTGTTGTTTTTGAATTGTACTTTCTTTATTTGATTGGCAGTCAGTTGTTGATTACATGCAGACGTTGATAAAGCTACAGGTCACTTCAATATTTATCACACTAATTCATGAAGCAAGTTAGACATTTTGATGTTCCGGACCTTTGCATGGGGAAATTTTCTCTAACTGGACCTCGTTGAATTTTAGTTGAATACCCCTGGTCTAAAGCTTACACAACTGTTTAATATTATAACATGATGAGGGGATGACATTTGTATGAACAATGCAAAAGTTGTATTAGGAAAACTTTATTGAGCATTCTTAACACAAACACATAGAAGAGTCACTTACTCATAAGTAAGCTCACCCAAATTGCAAAAAAACCCACCATATTCTCTTACTCACCTCTCATATATATATATATATCCGTGCAGATATTATTTCCTTTAAATAGCTGGAATTCATTTAAGGTGCTGACAGCACATACAAACATAGAAAACATTTAACAGCGATATCTCTTTCCAGAAACAGTGTACACATTTCTCTGAATAATCCACAGACTGCACAGTAAACTTTACTGGACTTACTACTTTCTAGCAAATTAATCGTTTTAATAAAAACTGGTGGTATGTGGATTATCAGAACAACAAAGGACATTGTAAATGGAAAGAGTCTGGCTTTTACATCTTTGCATGTAATGTTACAATGCTGTGTGAACCGCAAAACAAAATAACATGATTCTCCATTGTTCCATTCGCCTCCAAACCTGGACCATCTCTGTCTCTTTATTATTAGAAGTAAGTTTGAAAAATACATAATTTGGAGAAAACATCCCTTAAAGCATTATTTAAAGACAAACACGTTTTACTTTAATATACTGTAGATTATATGAATAGCATGGTTAAAATCTCAATCAGAACACTCTGTAATTAAAAAAAGCAACACAGTGTAACAGGGATCTAATGACTTCAGTTAGCAAAATGGTTAAAATCAACAGATAACATGGGAGTGTACTAACTGATCAGCAATCAAAACAATTACTTAATGTTGGTCTGGATCCAGCTTAAATTCTCAGATTTCTGCTGCCTGCAAAGCTTGATGGACCAACACTTCATTCGCTTCTCTAATCTGGAAATAAAGAAACAAAGACAACATGTATGATATGTCACAAGAAAAACACGTTTGTGAATAAACACCTAAACTATAAATCCACTAAAAACATCCTGACAGATGCACTCACCATCAGGGATGAGGGTCTTTTGCATCAGCATAGGTGCAAACCCCATACGACGAGGAATCCCTGAGGATAAAATAACAAGGTGAGACATGTACATTCATAAAGTCTACAAATGCAGAGATTAATCAAAAGTCCTTCAATCTACGTCTCCTACCTGTCTGACATTCGGGGTGGCCGCGCATCTGGGTGCCCTCGATGGCCGTGCCCTCTGAGTCCACACACCAGCAGTAGCCGGTGCCGTGCCAGCACTGCATGGACAGGTAGTTCCCGTGCTCGTCACACTGGGGCTTGTAGAAACCGACCTTGGCCTCTCCAAGATCTGCCTTGATCTGACACTTGGTCTTGATGACAGTGACTGAGGGATGAAAAGAGAACAGGAAGACATTAAGGACCAGTTCAAGTTTAATTACTGGTGACTGCAGCAAAGTAGTGCTACATTTTGGGAAGTACGTTTCTGTGCTTTTGGCCAAGAGTTAGATAGGAAGAATGATTTCACTTGTATCTAAATGGGGTATTGATATTTTTCTGTAATTCCCAGCCAAAAAGTAATTAAGTAATTGTCCAACTAAACATTTAAGAAAAGTCTTTGCTTCAAGTTCCATAATGAGAAATGTTGGACTTGTGATAAAAAAAGGTGGATTTACTCTTTGCACAATACAAAAATCTCTCCTATAACTGCCCCTTAAAAATTACAATAGCAAAAGTAATATTGGGTATGTAATCGTAACCTTTTTGCACCAAAATAGAAAAATAAAAGTAACAGTTCTTGTAAACTCAGAAGCTTCACTGCTCAGCAAACGGCTTTTTCATTGATATTGCCACAGTATTGTGTTACATCCATCCTTTACTGGAAATAAAGGAAAAACAGCATCTACTGTTACACCTGTGTAGATCAGAGCCTTCGCTAAACACTACAATGTGAAGGGAAGTAAAGGCGAGTAACCTGGCTTAGCGGCTGGGGATGCAGGCTCCTTCTGGGCCATCTGGAAGATCAGCCAGTAACGCATCCAGGACTCAAAGCTCTGCAGAGAGAAAAATGCAAAAATACAATAAAACATGATGATTTTATTCAATAATATCGTATTTGTAGTCTTCTCCATTTAAATGTGTGTGAAGCTCTACCGTCCACTCGCTCTCGTTCACATGCTGCTTCATGCTCTGCAGGTTGGCCAGGAAAGTCTCGTTGAACTGCGGCAGTTGAGGGTTCTGCTCAAATCGTTTAGAGCGTACGTTTAGAGGATAGCTTTTTTTACAGCTTCAGAACACAGCATTAACAATGTGTCGACAAACAGGAAACACAGTGCAACAAACCTGCATGAGATCCTTCAGCTGAGTCTCCATGCTGGAAACAGTGTCCTGAAGTTTCTGATGGGAGGGAACAGAGTATTTCAATATTTTTGCTTGAAATAATGTTGAAATATTTTCATTCATTATATAAAATTAGGTGATGTGTCAATTTAAACCTAACATGGTCTATTCAGTTCATGTTGTATTTGATAGGACGTAGAAGTAAACCTACAGTCAGGGGTGTCTTGGCTTCCAATTCTGAAGTGAAGTCCGTCAGCAGAGGAAAGCTGCTCATTGGCATGTGCATCTTTATTGGAACTAAAGGTGAGAACAAACAAAAGAACAAACTCAAAAATAAAGGCCACATGAAAAGATTCAGTAGGAGAAGCTTTGTTCGCTATTACTGATTTAGTTGAAAATAAACAAATAGCTGATCAGAAATTCTAAAATTACAAATCCAATGAAAACCGTAAAGGCTCCATAGAATTAAAAATATATAAACAACTAGATATGAATAGAAAGTGGTCGAAATGATAAAACTGAAGGCAACATGTAATTTTAATGTTGAATGCTGGAAAATACGTGTTATTATCACTAACATTTCACACTGCTTGACATTAAAAGATCAACATTAGAATAGTAAACAACTGAATCATGAGGACACTTTAATTTCTACCTTTTAGATCAAGTTCCTTCAAGTCAGCTTTCACTTCCCTGTCCCCTCATTGTGTCTATAGATTCCTCATGTCTGACTGAGGCTATGATTCATTACTGACACATTTCTACTTGTTCCCCTCTATCTGATCATTAGGATTTTGATGCTTGCTTTTACCCTTGACTGGGCGGGACAGCTGTTTGTCTAATCTCTCAGAGCTTTTCGTCAGAGAGTGGATCTGCTGCTTCTGGTCGAACACCATGTAGGCAGTGAAGACCTGGCTGGCCAGCAGCAGACAGGCCAGGGTCGTCAGGCCGGCCACCTTCAAGGCACGTTTGTTGGAGCTCCTGAGAGAAATACATGAAAATAAATGTGAGGATAAGGCAGACGGGGTGAGGGGATAATATGCCAAACAGCCACATTCAGATTAACTAAAAGTGACATGACTTTTAAACAAAAGTTTCGTAACAAATGCAAATTTCCCCTCTGTGGGACGAATAAAGGTATTCTGATTTGGAAGGTTACTTGAAGGGGTTTCCAGAAAGTGCTTTTTGGACTTTCTGTCACAAAAAAAAGCCCAATATGTCAAACAACATTCTTGTTATTATACATTTTCTAAAGAAAGGAAAATATCAAACATAATCTCTTTTAATAGTAATAATTAAGTATAAAATATAAGTCCTCTGACACATACAGTCAGCCTTTTTGTCTGCTGCTCATAGTATGCCAATAAAGAGTGGACATCACTTGTTACCAGGCAGACCTTTTTACTGGAGTTATAGGGAAGTACAAATCCAACTAAAAGTTAGAGCCTAGATGTGAAAAAAAAGTGTTCAGTGTCTCATAAAAGGGTCTCAACAAAGCATATGCCTATTTTATAATGAGTTATGCTAGGAAAAAAAGTTAAACTATGACCTAGAAACTCAAGGTAGTATGTAAACAATATCTATAGGAGGTTACTGTATGTTAAGAGAATAGGACAGAGTTGAAATATTTTTCAGAGACAATAATTACATTCATAAATCATTCGTTTCTTAGTTAAAATCCCCAATATTGTCCAATGTTTATCTGCTGTGGTTAATTATGAACCAATAGCATGGCAGCATCATCTGTTGCTAGGTAGACGCCTTCTGTAAAGTGACCGATGTCCGATTGCAATTGACTAAATATGGTTTACATGTAGGCTTTAATGAATATATATAATTATATTATAAGTAAGCATTTAAAATGTTGGAAATAAATCACTTTAATACACTTATTTCATGAGGATATCTGCTACTAAGAAAAATACGACATTTGAATTCAATTCACAATTTTTGTATGAATCTGTAGAGACTCTCCCTTATAATTAGAATTGTGTTATACTGCGTATAACGTTTATGAGACAGGTTTCTCTCACCTTGCGGGAACTTCGGGGATAACGAGGACTTCTTCACTGCCAGCCAGACTCCCTGTGGCCAGGGGGGACTCTTCTGTATGGTCGGCCATCTGTCTTGGAAGTTGGTCTCTTTCTTGTCCTTCAAAGCAACACACTAAAGAAAGTGGGACCCGTGCTGTAGATAAATGATCTTAGAAATGAGGAAGGACAAGTTCTTCTGAAAGGTGCAGGGAAGCGGGAAGTCCCCGTTTAAAAGCGCTGTGGGATGGCTCGGTTGTTCTGTGAGGGAGCGGCTTGTGATTGGTCAATTAAAGCCCCATCACTTGTTGTTCGTGGCAGAATGGTGGAGAAGTTTCGTTTAATTTGTGCCAGGAATTTCACCTAACTGATTTTACTGTATGATTATGTTCCGATTAAAAGCTCACACAGTCTGTTGAGTTAATAAACGCTTAATATTAACACGTAGTTTACCTATATCAATAACATTTGATGCCATTTGTTTATTATGTATATATATAGTAAAAGAGCAAACATCAATAGAAGTATTAATACTACCTCAATTACCAACAAGAGGACAATTCAATTTATTAAAACTGAAATGAAGGGTTATCAGTAGCAACCATGGGAATTGTGTATGCAAGTATTTTTACTTTTATGTTTTATGATTTGCCTAATGTAATGCAGCATTCTATTTATGGTCATGCACTTCCTAGAACACCAGACTGCTTCTCTTGTACATAATTGAACCATGTTAATATATCTTGGCTTAATTTATACATCAGGAAAAAACCAAAAGTGCATTTTGTTAGTGAACAGGCCTTTGATTTGTGGTATTTTCAGAGAGAAATAAACCCCCCCAGTAAAGTGAAAACAAAAGACAAACCAATCTTCAAGAAATCTCTGCACAAAAGCAACAACCATTATCCCGCTTGAGTTGAATTTTAAGTCATCCTTCACTAAATTATATTGAGAAAATATTAATGAACAGACAGAAATTCAACTGAAAAAAAGAGAGCAAAGTATATAGCATATATTGAAAAATACAGTGGTGTTTTATTTGCAAATTAAAAAGCACCGACAATATTAGTTACACTGTAAAAATTATTGACAACAATTACAAATCTTTATCATACAGTCCAGGAGATTAGTACCATCATTGCTGTTATGTGTTATCACGTAATACTTTATATGGAGAGACTCAGTACCTGTGTACAACGGTTGGCAGTGAGAGGAATGAGAGGAAACAATCTTAGCGACACACCTCCGCATGATGACGTCATCCAAACTCCCCTCAGTACAGCACTGACATTTCACACTATGGGAATGGGCTGATGGAGAGTGTAAACCCAAACACATTCAATAATTTAGGTCTACTGAAGGTTGCGTATACTATGTACATTACAAAGTCAGGAAATAAAGGACCACCATGTGCGTTATTACATCAGAACATTGTACAAAACTATTGCAATAAGAGCAGCTTTTTGTTATCTATGCTTGACATCTAGTTGCAGTGGTAACACCTCGATCGACAACCAAACGTCTGTATGGTCTCACTGGGCATACTGTTGCCTGGCAACTTTTCCCAGAGACAACTTCTTTCCCCCAATTTTAAAAACTCATCTAATAAATGAAATGAGACAAAATATAAAGACAAAATATACAGTTCTGATGTAAAATACAAATTAAAAGTATCAAATGCTGAAAAAGGATTTGAAATGCACAACCTTGTTCTGTACACTATCTGACCAGAGTGTTATTAAACATACAGTAGCTAGCTTATGATCTTCTTCACATGTTGTGGTAGGATCCTTTTTATAAATGTGCTTTCCATTAACCTGTATGTTTAGAATCCATGTTCCTTAAATATTGTGCTTTCAACATCTAAAGTGTTCCTGCTTGAAATGTTAAAACAAAATCTGAGAAATGAAAAGAAAAAAAACGTTGCAAAGAAAAATAACCCCCAATCGTCCATGTGGTGATATTCTGATCTGTCCTGGCACTTGTAAATGCAATAACTAGATTCTACCAAGGCCTATTGAGTAAGGCTACAACATGCAGCCTTAGTCAAGACTCCAGATGTCCCGTTCTCCTCTCAAACAAACACTTACTTATGTCAAAGGCATTTGGAATCAATGTCTCTCTGTCGGTCAGGCTGTCAACTATTAAAGTCAATGTTATGTTGCCTGTTTTAATCCAAACACACCACAACTCATAGCTGGAGACAAGGGTGATTTTGTGTTCATCTCTTCCACCTGTATTTTTCTCCTTTCTTTGATTTTCATGCGAAGAAGACGTTTGAGTAGAGCAGGGATGTGATTATCAAACATTGAAGGTCCCTCCTGTGCATCGCTGAGCCTTTCCTTCTTCTGCAGGACACGGCGGTGGCCATCTTTCAGGTGTCCATGCTCCTGGTGTGTCCCGCAGGGGAGCAACAGCTTCTCGATGCCCGGGGAGAGAGGAGCGCCATCAGCTGCGCAAAGCAACAACGCTCTCTTCCTGCTCATCATCCACTTGGGAAGATCACAGTTAAGATTTGAGTTCTGGTTGGGCATCCCATCCTTACATTTTGACATATTTCAGACTCTTTCAAAACTATTTGGGGATCTTCAACATTGCAGGCCACTTGACCAGAGTCCCTTTGGCAGGGTGGAGTTCAGTGTGGAGCTGTGGTCTCCCCCTGGGGTGCTGCTACCTGGTGTGGACCAGCTCTTCTCGGAGCCAGCTGGGCAGCGGCTGACCCATCCTGTAGAGCAGCTTGGACAGCTCAATGTTGTGATCCCTATAGTACTCCCTGAGGAAGCCCTGGGACTGAGGGAGACAAAAGGAGGTCAATGATTAGGATACATATTTACATTTATGATCAAGAATTATGAAAATGTAAGGTTACATTAACAGTACAATGTATTTCTTAGAGCATAGTTTTTGCAAACGATCTTACCTCAGGGTCCATGTCAGGGTACCTGCGACCTTTACTCTTTCCTAAACATTTGGTCTTCCCTCCCTCCAGCAGCTGACACCAGAATCCTTTCTTAGGGTCGAACCTGTACATATGAGATATATAATGAATGTGTTGTGAACTACAGAATACTTCATTTAGAGTTAGTTATGAAACACAACATTTCTAAGTTTTAAAAATGGAAAGAAAATCCTTGCAACAGATGGTGGTTTGTACAACAAAACTATTCCTGCCAGAAAAGAAAATTAAGTTTTACATATTGGCCTTATTTGATTTGCTGAAGTGTTGAAACTAAAGCAAAGCAGACAGAATACTACTAATGTCAGTTGAAGTAGAGAGCTATTAATCAATGTAATTATAAATAAATTTTTAAACATGCTGTTAAAGTGAAGCAGCTACTCACGCTAGGATCTTGTGGTAGTTGATGACGTTGACCAGGGACAGATACTTCTGGATTTTATCCATGATTGAAGCGGGCTCAGTCTTCAGCATCTGCCCATCCAAGACTAACAACTGGGGGAGAAACACAAACAGCGCCAAATGTCAGATGGGTTGCAGGACAGTCTTGTATGTGAACCACTGTGAAACAACCTCTCATCCTCATCCAAGTAACCAATCCAATGCAAATGGACCAAATTGAAAAACACACATTTATTTTTGACCACATGCCTGATGCCTGAAATAGATACTTTTTTAATAGATAAATGATCACATCTTTCTTAAGAAATAATGACCACATGTCAGGGTATCATAGATTTTGTCAATTTGAGGCAACAATAGCTTTGTTTTTATTCAAACTGTCCCTAAAGGGCAGACTTCTTCTCTTATGGTCAAGTGGATTTAACACACTGCCTGTAAGGACTGAGCAAAAGAGATAAAAACACCTTCACCCAAAACCATTCTGGAAAAAAATACCTTCCAGCCACCCATAAAGTGTCTGTGTGATTTACACAGACAAAGGAGATACACAGATCTGAGCTAGCTTGGCTGTTCACTGCATATTGCCCACCACCATGAGCAGGAATACTCCCTCAGTACCTGGCTGGAGTGGTAGTGGTTGAGCCAGCGCTCCAGGTGGATGGCGTACCAGCCTGGCACCAGACAGCGATTCTGAAGGACCCGCAGTTTGACTGGAGACTCGTGGCTTGCGGTGATGACGTCGCGGAAGGAGTATTTCAATGCCACCGGGTCATCGTGGGCTCTTTGGTGCTGAGGGTATACAGAGAAGGAAGGAGGATGAGTCTTGAATACATTCATAATAATATTACAATGGTGATCATGCAGAAATGAACACAGCAGTTTGCAAAGTGCATTAAAAGAGTTAACCCTCTGAACACCACAACCTGCAAGGGGGTTTACAAGTCAGCCAGAAACTGTAAATCAGAAATAATTAAACAAATCTAAGCTTTAAAAAAAAGTAATAATTCATCAAGATCCCCTTTTCCTATGTGTCTCATTTAAAAAGTTGGCAGTGTACAGAACCTGTGAAGTAAATGTGGGCTCCTCAGCGCAACTTGGGGGCCAGAAATGACACAGCTGAGTCAAGTTAATAACAGTCAAAAATCAACATTCATGAGAAAAAAATCATTGATACTCATTGAAATATGTATAGCAAATTAAACTCCTATTTTATTTTGGTAACACTTGTGGGCACTTAGACATTCTTTGTATTCATGGTTCCAGTCCCTCATCCATTTTTGTGAAATAAACTGAAATTCTACTTGCAAGTCTTTCTTTTTTTCTGATTTATGGGATTATAATTGTTTTATACTGCATTAAAGACACGTTTGAGTTGGCTCTTTTCCTCATTATGATTAGGCTGTTTCCATTGCAGTCAGGACTTAAATATGGCAGAAAAAAGGAAGCCACAGTAAGTGAAATGTGACAAAAGCAAAAAACGCCCTGAAACAGCTCCGGGTTAAGAGTTATTAGTCTTGTTCAGGGTTTCCTTTGACTGACCTGATACCAAGAGTAAGCTCTGTCCGCCGGGTTGATGAGGATGGTGACGATCTTGGCTTTGGGCAGGAGAGCTGCGGCCCTTTGAGCAGCCACCTCCGAGTCAAAGTAGTTGGCACTCTTCTCAAAGTAGTAGTCTGAACTAGTGTTGGAGGGCAGAGGGAAGTACTCCATGTACCTGGATAACACACAGCAAACACAAACATACAAAGTGTTACAAGCAGCCGGGTCAAACGTACTCTCCGTAGATAAGGATAGTTTCTCTGTGTGCTGTGTGGACTATCGGCCATGTGCAACAGTGTGTCACCTCGCACACAAACAACACAAACATCTAGCAGCAAGTAGAATGTTAGTATTTGGGCAGCCTGCTCAGATAAATATCAAGCCGGCCAAGAAAGTGTTGTTGTGCTCTTTGTGTTGTGATGCATGAAGCTTCTCATTGATGCAGGGTTCAAATCAATTAAACCTACAGGCACATTTAAAACACTGAATTACCTATCCAACTAAATAGGTGTTCATTTTCGTTGCTTGGCTTGATCTTAGGGATTTATCTAATGAGTATCTGTTGTTCTGTTGGGACCTAGCCTCATTTTCATTTTGATTCTTGATTTAATTTGCATTTAACAGATCATGGAATGTAATGAGAAAGTAAGAACACGGCTTATTTGTACTTAAAATGCTTTTGACAATATTTTACCCTAATTTATACTAATTGATATGGAAAGGAAATATTTGAGATTCAGAAGTGTTATTCCCTCAAGTCACGTGTCTGTGCTTGAAAAAAAAACTTGTGTAGGAAAGAAATATAAAATTAACCGTCAATTTAGCAACTAAAACTTGGAAACAGTACACACAAAATCCTGAAAAAACATGATTCCTAGAAATGAGATGCAAAGTTAAATGTCGGTAGATGCTGCCCAGCACAGCCCTGTTATAAAACACTGAGGAGAGTGTGTGTTGTTTCCTACCAGTCAATGCCTCTGTGGTAGTTGTGCCCATTGAAGAACTGGATCTCCTCAAAGGTCTCCTTGCTTGGATAGTTACTGGTCAGGTCCGGGTGCATGCCAAGAAACAAGTAGAGAGCTGTCGTCCCTGAGAGGCGGGGAAAAGCCGTGTAGAAAAGATGAAAGAAAATAGCAAAAGGTTAAAAGGGAGTGCGTATCCTGTAACACCCTGAAAACAAATCACAATCTACTGCCATTCCCTTTGATTTTCAAAGACATATCAAAACCTAATTCAACCCACTGAGAACATGACTCAACTTCTGCTTTGAACTGAGTGATGAACTTCAGATCTAATCATTTCCAACTCCTCCTGTAGGGGGTGCTGAGGCACTGTGTCTCACCTGTCTTCTGCGGCCCGATGACGAGCAGTTTGGGGAAGCGGTCACATGTTTTCTCTTTGGACCAGATGTCCTTGTGCCTTTTGTCCTCACAGGGATCCTGTAGCCACGAAAAGATAAACATTCCTTTGTTTTAGGTGTGGTTCTGACAGAATTCATACAAACAAATACATACATTTAACGAGACAAAATAACACAAGTTTAGGTTCGTCTCAATCTAACAAAGGAGACGTATTAAATAAAATATGTTCAGATGGGTAACAACAGAGCTCTCCATACATCAATAAATCATTGCATTACTCATTGCTTAAGACATACACACCCTGTTTCTGCATATTGGACGCACTGAGAAGCATTTAAGCTATTACTGCTTGACGTCATATTTTAAAAGGGATGCAATGTGTTTTGTACAATACAGTTGTCTGCCTTACTTTTCTGTTATTGCATCATTCCATTACTGACATCTGTAAAAAATGACTACTATATGCTAATTTCACATGTCAAATATCTTCCTCACCTGCCAGAGTGGATCCCTCTCGGAGGGGAATAGGCTGAAGTACTTCTGGGCCAGCTGGATGGGGGGCAGGGTCTGCATCTTCAGGTTGGTCCACGTCTGGAGGAACATCACCAGGCTCTTAAAGGTGTACAGGCCGAGCCGATCGTTCCCGTAGTTTGACAGATGGGTCATGAAGATACTAATCTGTGAATGGGAAGGAACACGCAGAGTAATATTTAGAAGGAGGAAAGTTAACTCAGTTTGGTTTAGGTGGTATGAACTGTGTATATTATTTAAATACTGAATGTCCTGTCCCTATCCTGTTACTGAACTGCTAATTTAGTGTTTGAAGTAATTTGCTGTGAAATGTCTTATGTTGTTTGTTGTTTTATTTTAAGTCTATTTTTTTGTATTTCATGTGAGACTGCTGTGATGCCATTATGGCCAGGACTCAATAAGAATATCCTGTTCAAATAAATAAGCAGTAATGATATTTAGTTGGCGTTGAAACAGTTGATTTGTCAACCGACAACATGTCAAACCTCACAGATCCTTTAATTACTTCAGAAACTAATCTCTTTAGTGCAAGTATAAACAAGAGGAATATTTACAGCAATCAAAAACGGTTCCAATGTTCATATGAGCGCCTGGTTATGGTTTTATGGAAATTGTGGACTTATCCTTCAAAATGGGGCAGTATCCCTTGAAAGTCACTGAAAACAAGGATGAATGCTGTCCTTTCAGGCTTAAACATATGCACCAGATGTTGTGAAGAAATGGATACATGGGAAAAAAACAGTTTAAAAAAGGTCAGCCTTTAAGAGGAATACAACTACAGACTATACAGGCTAACATTTATATGGCATTTCTAAAAGTATTCAAAGTTTTGTGGGAATGCAAGTTGCCCATTGCTTGGCCGATTGGTAAAACATTAAACAGAGAGCCTGGTTCTTGAAAAGCAAACGTATATCGTGAGGATGAAAGCTTAGGAGCTGGTCAATATTTGGGAGATATTTTTGGAACGTGTTAAACATTCTGACATTGAAGAGGCACTGGAAGTCTAAAGGTCTGAAGACATTTGGTCATTTTTGCTGTGAGTAATGTGTGTCGAACCCTGTCTTATATGTGGGACAGCACTTGCATTGTATTTTCTTTTCAAATTAAATGTTTATGTCCAATTGCTGAACATAAAGTTTCAGCTTTAATCCTTTTTTAGTTAATTATTCATATGGATTCAGATGTATTATTATCATTACTTTTTGTAAGTTAAAAAGTGCAATAGGTTATATTTGAGGAGATTTCTAATATGCATGCACAGTAACCTTTTTTGATCATCGCAAAACAAAACATGCTGATGAATGTGGCGCTAGATAAAAGAGGCTTTCATAGGAGGGTAGAAACAGAGAGCACGACGCAGACATCACTATGTGAGTCACTGACTAGTCATTGTCCCGTCCCTCGTTTATATTTCAATTCACACCAGCAGTGTAATGGGTTTCCAAGCGTGCAAGACAAAAGCTGGGCTGTGTGGATGTGAATTTCACTCACAGGGTTCAGTAAAACAGTGAGGAAGAGCTCTCCTCCATTGATGAGCTTGTCCAGTTCGTTCGGGCTGCCTGGGTAGTCTTTATAGAAGATAGTGTGTGTGAAAAGACCACACGTCTGCCTGGGCAGCACCTGTAATTCAAACAAACACAAAGTTACAACAAAAAACAACACACATCCAAAAGAAATCACAAAGAAGTTCATTCAAACAAATAAACACACACCATCAGCCCTCCGCTGAGAGTGGCGCCGTCAGTACTCCAGGCGGTTACCACACACATTGTTTGCTCTCAATAACATTCATATTATGCAGCTCATCTAGCCAAAGCAAACCTCTTATTCACTGTGAGTCTATATGGAAATTCATGGAAATGCGTTTACAGTTTGGAGTGTCTGGGGAAGTGAATATCAATCATCAGTAAGCAGTGGGGACTGTCCATTCAGACGGCGTTATCTGAAGGACGCGAGTAAAGCTCCGAGACCACACAGGCTGACTGAATGCCAACACTACAAAGAAACTGGACTGAGGCTGCAGGCTTTCCTATCAGCGCTGAAGGTCAAACCAGGAAAGAATAGATAACATTTTTCTTCTTCTTCTTTGAAACCTCTTGAATGTAATCTCTTCGACTTTAATTCGGCACTCATAACTTATTTTATTCAGCACCGGCTAGCGCTGTGAGGTTGAATAGAGTGCAGTTTTTTAGGAGTGTTGACATTTCAGTGATTGGTTGTGTGCAGACACTTGCTATGCTGTTGCCAAAGATGTCCATCTTCGTTATGGCGCTGAAGCCTGCGGGGCAGCGCTGCTCCGACAGGTGTCTCATGCAACACCGGCTCACTTCACTACACTATCATCTCATAGCAAGACTAATGAGACGATTGCCGTTCTCAGGACTTCTGTTGCCTCAGTGATATGCGCCGTAAATGAAAATAAGACTCTGCTCGGTATCTTAGGGGACGAGACTTAAGAAAGCAGAGGCGGAGAGGAAAGTTGGATGATGGACAAATGCAGGAAGGAGAGTAGCTGCTGGCGAGAATAAGCACAAAAGAACTGGAGGAGGTGGAGAGATAATGAATGAAGGAAGGATAGCATATGTAGATGGAGAAAGAGAACCCTGAAAGAGATTATTAGCTCAAGGTAATGGATGTTGAGAAGTCAAGTGGAGGGAAAGCATCGGCCAGAGGTAACGAGATAATGAGGTCTTATGGATGCGGTGTGTATGAAAAGTGTTCTTACGCTAATGCCGCTGTGCATGAAACCTCTGCGGAAGCGGGCGGGCTTCAGGTGGGGGTATTCCTCCGTGCTGGTCACCTTAATGCCCCACACCTTCTTCCAGGCGTCGTACAGCTGCAAATGAACAGGGTAGACGCCAGAGTGGTGGGGCGCCACCGCATAACCCATGTTGGTGGGGATCCCATGCTCCTGGAAGAGGGAAATACATGAGAGTTAGGAGTCGGAGAGAAGAGCAAATTCTAAAAAAAAAAATTCTACCTGTAATGTTCCCAAGATACTAAGGCTCGAACGGATTCTTCATACAAATTAAAACCACATTTTTTAAACGTTTTATAGTCAACATGTTTTTTTAACATTCATTCATTATCACAATGTTGTAGTTTAGTTTGTAAAGGCCACTCCCCCGCTGGGTTCAGATTGTCTACATAAACATGAGGTATTCAGGAAAATTATGCTTCTTTGCAATGCAGCCCAAATTCATTATATAGTTTACTTTTAGCTCTCTTTAATTCACATATATAGACATTTGTATTCATTGGGATAAACCCCTTGAGATGCACCATCTCGTTTTCAAGGGGGTCCTGACAATAGCAACAACTTACAGACATACATAAACAAAAAGACAAAATGCAAAACATGACACACAAGACAAACCACATACAGTCTGTTAAGTACAACTCAAGCAATGCATACAATCATTACAATTTGAGAGACAGTCGAGCAAATCAGTTTCATCAATATCAGTTTCATTAATAACAAGTGCAGACCAGTTGAAAGTGAGATGATAATGTTTAAACATACCCATCAGACTAGGGCTGCTCAATTAAATCGTATTTTAATCGCGATTACGATTATGGCTTGCAACGATTACGAAAACAACGTAATCGAAATAAAACGATTATTTTTTTATTATTATTATTACTTTTTTAAAAATTATTATTACTTGTTTTTTTTTCAGTTGAATTATGCTTAAAGTTCAGGGTAATCAACTGTTAAAAACATACTGTTCAAATGTAAATGGATAATCGTTTTTAATAATCGTGATATCAATTATTGACCCAGTGGAGTGAGTGGAATATGTTGAATATGTTTTACCAAAATGTTGGCTATATGTTAAGGAGTTTTCAGGTTGTGACAGTGCACTGCAACATGTTTGTTGATCTTGTTTATTGGTATTTATTATTTATTTAAATGTAGACATGAATGTATAATTTATTTTATATTGGTTTTTCAGTTGAATACCTTGAACGTATAATTCAACAGTTAAAAAGTTCAAATTATTATTTGTATTTGTTTTAAAGTACAATAAATGGATGTTTTCAAAGTCAATGAATAATCGCATTTAATAATCGCAATTACGATTATTGACCCAAATAATCGAGATTATGATTTTTGCCATAATCGAGCAGCCCTACATCAGACCTTATTAAGTTACCTCCTACTGCTGATGCCTAACGTTTCATGTGTTTAAAAGGTGAAATGGGATGGAAAAAAAGAACAATGTAAATGTTCTTCCTTTCACTGTCAGCATATATTTGTTATGTTTTCACGGGAGTAAGTGAACATGAAGGAGCCTTCACAGAGAGCTGTGAGATTTAGGGCAGACACATCTCCAGTCTGACTGAGCCAGCTAACAAACCCCACTGTGTCCTCCTGTCTTCTGGACATGTGTGCAGCATGAAATCTAATGGCAGTTGCAAATATAATTTTGACTGGGATTTTTAAAAAAACATGACTTTTTATGGCTGCACTGCTAACAGTAACACTAGTTGTTCTTTCACAAAGTGTTGTCTTAAACCACACTTGCGGTTACTTCAATAACCCAAGGTATTCAACCTGGATTTAAATCTTAAGATTACAACCGTAGAAAATAATTAACACCTTGCCTATTTGAACACAGAGGACATGATAAGCAAGGATAACTCAGTGCTCACCCAGAGCTGTGATCTGACCTTTGACCCTTGTGACTCACCATGGCAAATTTCTTGTTGAGCAACATCTGCTCAGCCAAAACGGACTGGTTGTGGAAAAGATGGGGCTGCATGTGACTCCACATGTGAGGAAACCACCAGAACTCCTTCACGTAGGAAAGCAGCAGGTCGTCTCCCAGGTCCTCCTCATCAGACCCTGATCATAAAAGAGAGGGTGGAAAGAAGGGAGAGGAGGGAGGTTAACAGAAGAGCAAGGGGTGAGGGGTTAAAAGGAAATGGAAAAAGAGATAAAAATGGACATGGACAAAGAAGAGGAGGAGGTGAAGTGGGGTCAGGGAGGAAATGAAAGCGTGAGGGGCAAGAGAAGAAGTTCAAATATTAAATTGAAGCACAGAAGCATGTAAGGGGAATAACGGCACCAAAATAAAGTTAGGGCATGAAGGAAAGAAGAGAAGTAGAGAAAATGGAATAATGTGAATCGAAACAGACATTTTATCTTTTTACATTTAGAGTATGATCTTATCTCGGCTTGATTTAACAGCAGCAAAGGTTTTTCTTCACAGGCAGCATCTTACCAGCGTGAAAGAATTTCCCTGAGTAGCCCAGATTGAAGGTGAAGTTGGGCACATGGGTGCGCAGCTCCCTTTGAGTCTCTAGCAGGGCCTGAAACGGTGGGAGGAAAGAAGCGCGAGTCAAACCACGTTGTGCTCATACTGGTGCACGAATGCATTAATGAGGATTCGTGAACACCGAAGCGCGAGTGTGCCCACATACATATTTCATTCTGCAAGTTTCTTTCGGTAAACATCTAACAACATCCAACAACATCCACTCCCTCTCCTCACTACTCTCCTCCATTCTGTTTGATATTTATCCTTCCTCTGATTCGGGTGTTTGTTTCATTTGATCTCCATGCTGGATGAAATTCCCAGCACACACCCTCTCTCACACTCACAGATTTCTCCGGTCTTGTCATCGTGTGATTCGTTCCTAAAAGCTCGCTGTTGCGCTGCCAGTGAGGAGTCTTGATGCGAGTTACATATTTTCGTCTTACACTCTCTGCCTCCACATGTGATCAGGCTGTTCTGCTCTGAGGGGACACAAGCAAGGAGCTTTTCAACATTCTTTGTATGTCCCTGGGCCCCCTGAAATATTCATTGCTGTGGAGCTTCTGTGACAGTGTGAGCAGTGGGGCCTGTCAGCTTTGAGCGGCCTACTGGGACGGATGCATTGAAAAGGAGAAGAGGAGCGAGGAGACGAGGTTTCTGTTTGACTGGCAGAGGGTGGCACAGGCTATGTGTGAGGAAATCTTATATTTGAGCAAAGAGCTGTTTAAAAAACACTGGTTTATGAATACATTAGTGGGTTCAGTTACAATTCTGATAAAGTTTTCAACACTCATGCAGCAACTCACCTTCACATCAGGCACCTTCATGCGTGTGCCCTCTTTGCCCACAAAGATGTCGTCTATATCCACCAGGACGTAGCGCTCCAGGGACAACGAGAGCCTCTTCCCCGTCAGAAAGGCCACAGCGTCCACGAACACCAGCTTGTGCAACCAGAAGACCAAGTTGTTGCCGAACAGGACCCTCTGGATGCCGTCATGGAGCCCCAGGTCCTGCACCACAGACGGGAGCAGAGCAGCGTTCTGCCCCATTGATGCCACGCTCTCAGCTGATTGGGTCTTGGCCAGCAACACAGGCTCGTATGTCGAGTGGTTGGACTGGAAAACAGTCCAGTCATCCCCGGGGAGGGGACCTGGCAGGGGCTGCCCGGATCGAGTGATGAAGAGCAGGGGGGACTTGGGGTTGACAGTGCAGTCCTTCAGACCCAAGTTGGAGTGAAGGAAGAGGGGGAAGCCTTTCAGCTGTGCACTGAGCAGACTGTTTTCATTGGCCTGATCAACGGAGAGACAAGAGAGAGAAACAGATGCATCATACACCACAGTGATGAAGACAGAAATGTATTGGATATAATTCCCAAATTTCTCCAATCATGTGTGAAATAAGGAATGTCAGGCCTATTGGAACGTGAAGGCATCAAGCAGCTTCTACCTGCTACGCTCAATCTGCTGTGCCCAGAGATTGCAGTTAGAATGAATAACCTCCTGCTGTGTCCTCTAACATTCAAAGATTTAGAGTTCAGCGATTATTCATAGAAATGTCTCCTCCATAATGCGCCTTTCTCAGATACTCTCACATCTCTACAGCCACAGATACTTAAGTCTGGCTTCCTCTTAATATCTTACCTCAAATGTCACCAGAATGCACGTGTGGGCGTCAGAAAGAGGATCATAAAGTTGACATGCATTGTGTGGTGTCAACATCTACACAGATTGGATTTGGAGGCAGATAGAAATATGTGAATATTTAAAAAGATATGAGTGTTTTGATGACACTGGGTTTCTTTCATCTACATTTTTGGCCCCACTGACCTCATTGCTGTATGTGTTCATATTACAATTGTGAAATCAACCAATTGAATTATTTATTTTTTCCTTTGCTTTTCTTCTGACCTTAATTAAACCCAATATGAAGATACATTTGGAGTGCTGGCCTTTCTTTCCAGAAACTGGGCTTGGAAAAAATGATGTTTAAAGCATTTTATCTAGCAAATGTTTCATGTTTGTTATGTTTTATCGCCCATCTTTATTTAACTAAATATACCTTTTGTTTGCCAAAAACAGCACAGTCCGCAATTCACAGAGAAAGACATTTACAGAATGTAATCCTTAACAAAGATGTTACGTATGCTAAGTGTCCCTCTTATTAACAAACTGCTGTTAAAAAACAAACAATAACAGAAATACAGCTCAATTAGTATTATACAAGTGTGGATAAAGGGCTATCTGTATTTTTGCATAGATTAATCTGTTTCTATATGTATGTTTTATTATTGAAAGAGAGTACTTGTTGATAGTGGACTTCTGCAGCATGTCATCAGTCAAAATTATGTTTATAAGCAAGTCTAGGAAAATTAGGAAAGGTGCTGTACCAAGATAATAATTATTGTAAGTGTGGTTTTTGAGTAGTTAAAGAGGGCAAAACACACAGTAAGAGTTAATGTAAAAACTTCACATAAACAAATATTTTTGATATCAATTCTTGTTCTAAAATTTGGTTTAAACGAATTGCGACCCAATATATGTAAGATAAGATAGATCTTGCATTTTGGTAATGCAACACAAATCACTACATATGTTTGTAAAAACCTAAAATCGGGCCTACAGTCATCTCTTGGGTTAATATAGCAGAGCAGCGCTGTGTTTCCAGGTCATTGGGATGCACCCCCTCGCTCTACTTCTCCTCTCCCAATAGCGGGTAAATCCCACCAGGCTCTCATTCCTAACCTTCACCTACACCGCCTTACATATCTCTATCTATATTCTTTCCATGGCTCAGAGATGGTGATTAAAACTATAAGACCTGAAAATAGGCCTCAGGCAAACAGTCTCAGCTAGAGAGAGAGGAGAGACAGAGTGAGAGAGATACAGAGGAAGAACGAGGTACAGAGAAAGCAGGCTTTAGAGAAACTAAAACAAAGAAGAAAAAACAAGAGACTTGGCAAGAAGAGTAAAGTAGACCAGATAGCAGAATAAAGGAAAACAAGAAATAGATAGAACATCAGAAAGAGTGATATGGACCAGGCAGGTCTTTCCAACCGTGTGAATTCAATCTCCTTAGAGACGCTAGAGCCAGATGGACAGGGCAGAAGGTGTCAGTGAGAGGAGGGAGGGGGAGGGGGAGGGGGGAGGGGGGAGGGGGGAGGGACGGAGTGTGGTGTTGTCCTAACCTTGAAGAAGCCAATGATGCCCACTCCATATTCCACGCAGTACTTGTCCAGCAGCTCTCGGTTCCAGGCGTCCAAGTTAACATACTTGAGAATGTTCTCATAAATCACCAGAGTGAAACGCCCCCTCTCTTTGTCCGTCAGTGTGGGCATGTCCCCTTTACCGGGGGAGATTTCAGTCCGGTACCTGAAGCGGCCAGACTCCAAGATGGCCACAATCTCCTGACCCAGTTGAGAATACTGGCTTTCCACAAACACCAGAACCACAGGATCTGTCCTGGCCCCTCCAGGATCCGCCCCCGGACCCCCCGGGACGCCCCGCAGAGGAAGTAGGCGCGACGGAGTGACCCTGGGGTCGTCGGAGTCGGCGGAGGCTCCCTCTGCCCCCGACACGCCCCCTCCCGACGGCTCCAACTCCCGCTTGACGCCATAGAGGAAGTAGGCAGAGATGAAGACACTGACGGTGCAGAAGAGGAAGAGGAGGAGGAGGGAGGTCTGCAGAGGGAGGAGACGGACCAGCCGACGGAGGCGTGTCACGCATCCCAGCATCGTCTCACGCCACACCACTCCGCCCCACCAGCCCAGCAACACAGGGACAGTCTATCTCGGTGAGGGTAGAAAACAGCGAGCAGGGGTACCTCACAACAAACTCAGTCTTTCTATTGAGTTAAACACAAACGGCGTCAAGGGAGCAGCTGCAGCAGCTACTGGAGAAAGAAATGAGACCGTCTCACTTTGGCTCTCCCTCATATTGCAGCGCTGCTTATGTCACCATGGCAGAGAAATAGGGGGCCTTGGACCGCTGGTACACACTTGCGCCTTAGAGGGAAGGCTGGCTGGCCGAATCACTGGTGGAGAAAGATGATGGAAGACTCCATCACCTGTCCATCATGTGAACTTGCCAACCATGTCCTGGTGAGATTTCCCTCCGCTCTTTTGATTGGAGAATGATCTCTTGAGAAAAGCAATGTCATGCAGGTCATCTCAGCAGCAGCATTCCCTCAGGATCGAATCTCATCACCTAAAAAAGAAACAACAAAAAGAAGAAAATTATGTCAAAATCTTAAAGCACAGTTCTATAGAACAAACGACATATTGCTTTCTGTTGTTGTGTGGGTTTAGCTGTGTGTGGGAGATGTGTGTATACTGCCAGTGCCAACGCTCTAAAAGTTCACTTCCAAAGTAGTCCCTGCATTCACCTACACACAGTTAAAGCTGCCAATTTCCCCCCACACACACACTCATAACCCCTGTGTGCGCAAACAAAAACACACAAAAAAAACATTTGCTCGCGCAGCCTCCACACAATCGATAGGCAGAATGTGAGTGACAACAAAGCCTGAGGGCGAGCCAATTCCTGATTCAGTCCGATAGGAATGTGCAACTGCATACAGGTGAAGCCATCACCCGCGGGGACACTCGCCTTCTATTTCCCTCAAATCCTCAACGGTATCAAGCCGAGAATGGAGAGCAGGAGAAAAGCAAGCATTCGGTAGGGAAGCAATCCAAGAGCAGAGGAGTGGGTGACGGTGACAGAGAGACCTAGCAACAGTAAGATCCTTCACTCCGGGAGAAAACCCCTTATCACACTCAATATACACCCCTACCCACTCTGCAGACCTATCATAATACTCCAGCCTTTTAGTCAATCTCCATCAAGTCGAGTGAGGAAAGTACAAGATGCAGCATGGAAATGGTGTGAGCTTACAAATACATCATTTCTGCATTTAGGGACTTGTGGAGAAAAGAGACAGAGCTTCATTACCTTTGCATGGTAATGTTCTGTCCATTAAGCCAGAGAGCTACCGAGGTGCACACATTAAACCTTTTATAAAACCCTAGATACCACATTAGAGTAGAGTCACAACCCTCTCAACCCAAAGACATTAAACTGTGACCACCAAACCCATCAAGACTCAACCGAAAACAAATCAGACATAAAATAGATTTGATAATGCCATCAAAGGGTTTGTTAGTAACACTATAAACTGAGGTTTGATTAAAAGGCGGCTAACATTAAAAATACAAAAGTGGCCATACTGTGCTCAGTGCAGTGAATCCTATGAGCTGCAACCATCCATCTGATAGATTTACAATCAATAAATTATTGATTTTTCATGACCTCATTGGAGATAAAGCTCAGATCATTTCATACACTCCCTATAGATATTCCTTTGATTGAATACTTTATCATTCATATAAACAGAGTACTACTAAATTCAGCCCATATAGTGTCCCTTAGATGTAATCAAGGTCAGCATTCTCTCGTGTAGCTCTGCCCCCTCCAGCCTTCCAGCTAAGCTTATCAGGACGCCTTTCGATGTCCCTGCAAGAGCTGAGGAAGAAATCACACTTCCATTTCTCTGAGTCGTGTCCAAGTTTCTTCTTTGCAGGGAAGCAGAGTCTAATGTAAAGAGAGGCCGTGAAAAAACAGTGGGCGTTCAGAGAATGTATCGCAGCGAAGCAGACAAAAAACAACAGCCCTGGTCTCTTGAAGATCCCCCCGGTACCTTGTTTGTTTGTCTTTTAAAGGGTATCGGGGTTCGTGTCATGGCATATCAAAGTATGATTAGCCACAGGAAGCGACTGCTGCTAGAAACAGTGAAGCAGAAGAGAAGCCAGGGGAGACAACACCCGACAACAGTTCTGCAAATACAATACAAAAATAATAATTTAAACTTTCTCATTAAAATAATTCCTATCAAAAATAAATTGGCCTCTATATACCTCAATATTATTAAAATGTTTCCAAGCTACCTGTTCAACTAGACCAAAAACACAATTGAATTAAAAAGGTGCATTGTGGATTTTTCCTACAATCAAACAATATTTGTGTTTACTTGAAAAAACACTTTTTGATTGTGATTCTGAGCCTACATTTTTAACTTGCTATCGGTCACCTTTTCCATCTCCTTCACTGGTGCATTGCTGCATTTCTTGGCGCACTACCGTCACATGTACATCATTGGAACGGTGTAAAAAATAGCAAAAATAACTTTATCAAAAAATGCAATCATTTCAAACAAATCCAGCTCCACTCTTTAGAAAGAAGGTCATCTTAAAGTCATTTTCTGTTAATGATTCATCTGAATGGATGTTATCTCGGTCTGAAGGGCGACAATGAGCTCTGCCCTGACTCTAAGGACACTGTTGACAAGGCTTAGGAGCAGATTGAATGCCGACACAACACAAACAGCGCAGAGGCACAGAAAACCTCACTTCTTGCCCAATTCGCAGCAGTGATGACCGCCTCCCAATGTTGACCTTCAGACTGAGCCACAGAGAGCTACAACCAAAGGAAGGAAGGCAGAGGGAGAGTGTGAAAGCCTGAGAGGGGGAGTCAGAGACGACGCAAACAGAGGGAAAGCTCAAGGCCTGGAGTGTGAAGCTACAGCTTTGAGATTGGGTCAGCTAAATAGAGAATACATTAGACTATAATGGCGATGAGGATATAGCACTGACCAAACAGAATAATGGTTAATGGATCTTAAATGTCTGCACGGCACGCCCATATCACCTAATGTGTCTTCTACTTCCTGTGCTATGTATACCTTAGAAGAAGCCAAGAAGATACAACCGCAAACATCACCGTACTCCTTCCGCCAAAATAATTGATGAAAAGTGTAGAGGAGGAAGAAAAGAGAACATGAATATTTCATGTTTAGCTGATGAGGTTAACCAGCAGACATATCTCTAAGGTAAAGAGCAGCCGAAAGGTGCGTAGAGACCAGAGTGTGTCAGTCTGCCACAGAGAGTCAGATGGCATATGGAGACTAATGCGTACCTGATAGCCAACCTTTTTTATTCTCAAAAGATAGAAAGAACAGAGGCTGAGTATGAGCTCTGTAATTCTGCACAACGTGAACTAAAAGTTTCCCTAAATGGAGATGGTAGAAAGACCAATAACAGAAGAAAAAAGAACAGCAAAGTGAAAGGAGGACATGAGTGTAAAAGGGAGACAAAATCAGATTAAAGGACAAGATGATCGACAACCAAACCTTGAGAAAAGAAAACTGATTGGTGGGGAAGAAAGGAGCAGGAAACTCACCCCTAAGGCAACCATAAATCTTGAGGCTTTGAAAACATCAATTAAAACAGTCCCCTCGTTATTTTATAGCAGCTGAAAGATGGTGACAGAAGGAAGTGGCGGCATAAACAATAGCAGGTGACGGCAGAGACAAATGCTTTTCCTCGGGGTGGGTGGTCACTAAAACCTGCTCCCTCTACATCATTGGAAGCAGGCCAGAACCATACGGCTAGATTAATGAGAGACGACGAGGAACAGGGCAGCAGAGCCTCAGCTGGAACAACTCCCTGGATAAACAACGCTAAGGTTGGCCATATGCAGCCTCACACGTCCTGTCCACTCTTCCCCCCCCGCCCTCCTCCTCCCCCTCCCTGACACTGCTGTTGCACTTCTTTTAAAGTGTGTATAGGACCAAGTGTCCCAGGGCTTGTGAAGAGTGTTAGTACATTAACACTGTCGGCCAGGGTCGGACTAGCCGTGGGTGATCCCTTCGACAAATACACTTTTAAGAGGAGAGCTGGACCCTCAGAGCCCCTCAGGACATAACAGTATCCCCTTCTCCCCCCCCCCCCCGCCCGCTGCCCCCTGTCTCCGACCCCTCGCCACTGACTGACAGAAATAAACGATGACCCTCTGTGTTCAATCACCACAGGCCTTGGCAACCGCACGCTCTCCATGGAAACGGCGGAGTTACGTTGTGTTCAGAGGCATGGAAACTGTGCAGAAGGAAATAGAGGCAGGGCGGTAATCCATGGGACACTCGTCAACAGGCTACTGTGGTTGTCACTTTTCTGCCTTTGTCTGGGCATAAAAGTACATGTACCACAGCGGCTCGATCAGAGTGGGGACACACCCGAGAGACTCATTAAGAGAATCTAAATTGTCCCTCTACAAAGCATGCGTGTTTTGTTCGTCTTCTATTCCTGAGCAAATATTAGTGAGCTTTTGTGCAAACACTCAGGCTTCACAAAGCACAAAAACAACTTTGATCTGGCTGATTGTACATGGGTCAAGGTTAAGAATTGGTCAAAAAGACGCCAATGTAATCCCCAATCGGTAATCCTGTTAATCTCGACACTGCAAACGGCACCAAATGTGCTTTTGCCAGCTCTGTTACTGTGTGAGATGCCTTGAAGGGATTAAGAAAAGAGACACAATAGAGTGATGAAGGCGGGGATTGAACATTGTATTGAGAGTGATCAAAATTCAATGTTATCTTTACTGCTCGCTATGTCGGAAAAAGGGTGCATGAGTTACTCAGCCGTAATAAACAGCTACAAGACCACTGTGCAGAATTCTGCACCACAAGCAGCGAGAAGCAAACCTAAAGCGAATTTCTGTATTTGCATTCAGTCTCCTACCCTTTCTGGCGAGAGATTAAACTTCAAAAAGCACAGTTTTTCATATTTCTTTTGAAGCACATCTAAAGCAACAAACAAGCACCCATGAGGAGCAGGGACTCGCCTTCTTAAAGAGGTTACATCTTGAAAGCCACAGTCACAGGTTTTTCTTCCTTTCCTTA